GCAATTCTCCTGGTTCCCCTGGTGTTGCAGCTGTTGTTCACGGGCGGCGGTTGTCACCGTTTGCCCCTTCTCCTATAAAAAAAAACAATAAAAAAATCTATGCTATATTTTATCCGAAAAGCATGCAGATTTTTTTTAAATCGAATTGTCAATAAAATGAATTGTCTTTGATGAATAGCTTATATCTAAGTAATTGATTTATACAATAAGATTAAAACACGTCGTAAAATCATAATTATGGCATGCCGTAACAACTCTTAACACATTCATCATATAACATTTCGTTTTGCTTTGCAAGTCAATGAAGAAAATTATTTAAACGCATTGTAGATTTGAGATAGTATACTCATTACTCACGCTACCGACACGCTCCACTGGACAACTCGATCATATTGGCTGTCTGTTACGCGCTTTCTTTGGAAATCATAAAGCTATTGTGTACATGTGATGAAAATAACTATACGTTTCGAGGTGTCTAATGACACTGCTTATTAATAATAATAACAAAAAACTAGTGATACGCTTATAAAACATAGAAATTGAATTGCCCGTGTTAATTAATATGAATACGAACGTTATTTCGTCATACTTCAGATAATGCGGCTAGCGAGAGAAATTAATTGTTATAGGCTTCCTCTGAATACTAAAGTACATATTTTTCGACTCGTGTAATTTTTTTTATAGTATATGGCAACAAACGAGCACACAGTCCACCCGATGGCAAGTGGCCCCCGTGGCCCATAGACATCTATATCCATTCTCGCTTGCGAATCAAAACGCATATGTGTTGCTGTTGCCACCCGTGAGGACTAAGTTGGAATGCCTCGTTTCCAGTAAAAAAGGTCTCCGGTTCTCTACACTCACCATACGAAACACAGCAGTGTCAAGCTGCTATTTTACGCCGGTATTCTGTGAGAGCGTGGTTCTTCCCCGGTCGAGCCGACCCATTCGTGCTACAACTATACTACTAATATAGCTGCAGCATGGCTCTACCACTTATATAATTACACAGAGTGGCACATTATATTTCGCCATGTAATCGCGGCCTAAGAGAATTCACAGCTCCATATCGTACCGTGGGTGACGTAAGAGACGACACAGGGAAACTGAAACAGTAGGTGGGCTGCAGCTGTTAACAGCTGAAAATAATAAAATATCTCCCCGTATAAACACATGTGGAATTAATTAATAGTCATTTATTTCAGGCTTTTTACACCCATTTCAAATATCAATAAATGTTAAAAACTAAATGAAAATATAATTATAAGGATACAATAAATAAAAGACAATTCAACCTTAATCATAGGTTAATACTATAAAATATTAAAGTTGCCCCCAAAAGGGAGTTCGTATTATCTATTTACAGTTATTGACGCGATGCACGGCACGCCAATATTTTAGTATGGGATTCTCTGGGCACTCACAGCACACCCTGAGGATCTCGTTTATCTTATTTATCTCGTCAACCGCAGTTTAGTAATAATTTAAAATTTTGTACAACCGACTTCAATATAAATTATTAAGAATAACTCAAAAACGAGAAGTACCAGCTTTCAAATAAAAAACAATCATCGAAATCGGTTCACCCAGAGTAAAATTATGAGGTAACATAAACACATAAAAAACATACAGTCGTATTGAGTACCTCCTCTTTTATTGAAGTCGGTAGAAAAGTGTGGCAACGATGCTAAATAGTATGCAAATATTCAATGGTTTATATTCCTCCTATAAAGTAATGCCTAATAGGGATATAGAGATATAGGCAATGCCTAATACGGGGAATATTTGCAATGCTTTTAGTAGACTGTAATGATGATGATGATATGTAATATTATATTTACTTTTATATCGTTTTATTTTAATTATTTTTGCCTTTTAACTCCTGATTGTTAAATCACAATGGTGATTTATCAATAAAATGTAAATGTCTTGAAATGTATAAACTTTTCCATCGACCTTATACTTTACAAGATATTTTTAGAGACACTTTAGAAATGATATGGGAGACAGCAATTTCAATACATTTCTTGAGAAAAATATTACAGAAATTAAATTAAAAAATAATAATAATAAAAAGTGATGCATAATTGCGAAGTCTACGTGTATGTCTATTTCTTTGACACGCTCTGTAGTTCTAAACGTCTTGTTGTAGTTTACATATAGGGTATCGTTATAATATTCGTCGTAGTAGTGGAAGTAACATCGGGATCGAGCATAATATTTGAATTTTTCTCTGTTTACGCTGTCAGGTATTGTTAATTACTGTTTTAACTATTGGGCTTGTTTATTTCAACTTATGGATTTTAAATAGAACTGATATTTCAAAATGTACTTATCACTTATTTTAATTGTTTGTTTGTTTGTTTTTACAAATGACAAATAAGATGGAGTAATCAAATAATTAAAGTAAAAAGTTCCTGGGTATTCTGTTGTTATAAAAAATTTAGGAATTAAAGCAGGAAGTTCATAGCACGGTATCTTCTATCTTATTTTGCTAGTATATCTGGCTTTATAACTTAACTGCCGTTTCGAATATGCCATCGAATATTCCAATATCTTAGTTTTATAAAGAAATTTCACCATTTTTGTGATTTTTATTAAGGGGCTACTCCATGCGAACGACCTTGAGCATTTTGCCGGCGGCACGCCGCTCGCCTCAATATATTGCTTATTTGAAATATGTACGACGCCACCACCTATTGTAGGTACGAACGTAGTATTATTTTTTCAACATCAATGAACTAATTTATGGAAATACACACAGCCAAAGATGTTTTATAGGTCATAAAATATCTTTGCACACAGCGTACAACGATAAATGTATTTTAATTTTTTTATTCGGTATATTAGTTGCATTGTTAGAATTATGTATTTTCATATATTATCTAATTATGAAATTTTATAATTAATTATATATTAAAAATGAAGCATTGAAAATTATGAGTTTAAAAGATACCTATTCACTATAGGTAAATAAATAGATAGCTCGCCTTTTGTACAAATATTTGGTGCAATAAATAATAAATAAATAAATAGGATGTTTCGTAGATGTGTTTTTGATTATTGTTAATTTTTACGTGTCACGTATTGAAAAGTAATATACCTAACTACTAATACAAAAATCAACAAGAAGTATAAGGGTTCAATCTTTCAATTTCAATTGTAAAGAAACGTTACCCCCACACTAGGATTTTCTCCTGTGTCGTGGAGGCAGTTTACAAACATAAATTGCACAAGGACAAACATCCAGACCCGGAACAATTATTTGTAAGCCATACAAATACTTGTTCCGTGCGGGATTCGAACCCGCGGCCCCCAGCGCAACAACTAATTGCTAAGCCACTGCCCCACGGAGCCGTCGCCGGGTTATAGCTAAAGTGACCACACGTCCCGTTTTGAACGGGACTGTCCCTTTTCTCGGTCACCTGTCCCATTGTCCCCAAACAAAGCTCCGGGACACAAAATTGTCCCGTAACTCGTTGGATGGAAGTATTCAAAGTCAACAATCTTCAACATAATTTTTTTTAATCGAATATATTTTATGTCTACCTGGTACGAATGCTCCGGTAGAAAGAGTATTTTTTTTTTATTTTGAATAAATTGTGGACGTCTGAAAGAAACACTTACGGTTCCAGAGTTCTAAAGGCGATGTTGTTAACAAAGATAACAATAAAAAAACTTGAGCAGAATTTTATTTTTATTTAAAATCATCACCAACTTTATTAAAGAAAATTTAATCCACTGACAAATGTAATTAATAATTAAGAAAAATATGTTGCATTTAATAATTACCGTCTATACCGAATATAATTTTACAGTGAACACTAATTGTATAAAGTTATAGTTTTTAGAGTATAAATAAACCCATGTCCTGTTTTGAGTTAAAAATAAATGGTCAGTTTAGTCTTTTTAGTTAAATTTAGTTTTAAAAATTTTTAGTAGTAAAAAGTAGGTATATTAGTACCTACTTAGATACTTTTTACCGAAGTATAAGTATAGAACACCTTATGTACTCAATTATTTTTTGAAAAAGAAGAAAAAACAAGCAATAAATAATATACTATATTTTAGCAAAAAACTATAACTTAGTAATACTAATTATAACTTAGAACATAAATGAAAAACTCATAACTGACAGGGCCCGACCCAGGATTCGATCCCGGGACCTAATGATCAGCAGTCGCACTACTACAACCACTAGACCAACGAGGTAGTACTGTACATAATAAGATATTGTGGTTGGGTGATAATATTGAATTAGCCTTTTATAGTGTAAATTATAATATTTATCGAAATTTTAATTATGGATTCGAACCTTACATGCCAATGGTGCTTCATTTTTTTATTTGCATTTACTTCAAAGAAAATACACGCAAAAAGCTTCATCGCGCAGTAAAAAACACAACAAATATATGTATAACTAATACGAAAAATTATACCCAAAACAAACAAATAATACTACCTATAAATAACCTAATAAGTAATATTATTTATCGACTGATATTACGTGAGTGTATGCGGCGCTGGTCGACGCTCTAACGACACGGGCTTCGCGTCGAAGAGCTCAGGGCTCAATGACTCCAGCAAGCCCGTGAGCAGTGAATATGCCCAGATTTTAAAATAATTTCTTAATAAAATCAAATTTTGGTCTTTTGAAAAAAAATTTACTATAGAAATGTTTATTAATAAATTGTCTATCCATTGGTGTAAATCGCAAAACAAAATAATACTTACTTTACGAGGAGATCCATGTTATCAATAATAATTTCACATTTATGTGGTTTCGTTGTAAGGAGATTATATTAATATTTATTAGTTTAAAAAAAAATTGGATATAGCTTTTATGGAATCAAGATTATGTAGAAATATAATGTGTTTTTTATTTGTTGATATATCTTTTAAATAAAAAGTAGATAGCTTCTGAAAACCGCACAAATAACGACTAGCGCGACATTTTGCTCAACCTGCGCCTTAATTACGTTTTTTGTTATTCGTTGCAGGAAGAGTTGGAAACATTACGCGCGAAGTTGGAAAAGGTTGAGAGCGAGCGTACTCACTACAAGAACGAAACAGAGAAACTTGAAACTAAGGTGAGATTATTTATTAAAATTTCATAATCCTTTCCTCATGTGGGACATTTATAGATTTTTTTTTATAGGAGAGGGGGCAAACGAGCATGCGGCTCACCTGATGGTAAGTGACTACCACCGCCCATGAACAACCGCAACACCAGGGGAATTGCAGATGCGTTGCCGGCCTTTTAAAAAGGAGTAGGCTCTTTTCTTGAAGGTCCCTAAGTCAAATCGGTCCGGAAAAATCGCTGGTGGTAAACTATTCCACAAGGAAGTTGTGCGAGGAAGAAAACATCTTCTAAATCGCACAGTGGTGGACTGCCAATCATCCAGATGGTGTGGATGGTATCGGGAGTTCTGCCGCGATGTGCGTTCGTGAAATTTGGCGGCTGGGATTAATCCGAACAATTCCTCAGAGCACTCCCCATGGTAAATGCGAAAGAAAATGCTAAGAGATGCAACATCTCTTCGCAGTGCCAATGAGTCGAGCCGATCGGAAAGGACTCGGTCGTCGACGATTCGAGCCGCTCTGCGCTGGATGCGGTCAAGTGGAAGAAGCTGGCACTGGGGAGCCCCAGCCCAGAGATGGGAACAGTATTCCATGTGAGGCCGAACCTGCGCCTTGTAAAGTTGCAGGCGTTGAGCCGGCATGAAATACTGTCCCGCTCTGCTGAGCACGCCAAGCTTTTTAGAGGCCAATTTGGCCTTCTCTTCCAAGTGACCATGAAACTGCACGCTACTCGATATGTCGACGCCGAGAATTCCAATACTGACTGAGGCAACAAGGGGAGTACCTTGAAACTGAGGAGATACGACAAAGGGGTTCTTTTTAGCGGTAAACGCGCAAACTTGTGTCTTCTGAGGATTAAACTGGACAAGCAAAGACTCGACTTCAGACACAAGTTTGTTCCGGTACTCGGTGACGTTTTCCCGAGAAATATTGGCACGGCCGGTGTATAGAGCATCACAAGTGCTGTCATCCGCATAGCAATGAATGCTACCGGCTTGCAACATATCATTGATATGCAGAAGAAACAGCGTTGGTGATAGCACGCAGCCTTGTGGAACACCAGCGTTAATAGGCTTGTAATCGGAGCATGCACCGTCTACAACGACCTTGATGCTCCGATCTGCAAGAAAGCTGGTGATCCAATTGCATAATTTCTCGGGAAGCCCATAGAAAGGGAGCTTCGAAAGAAGCGCTTTGTGCCAAACTCGATCGAAGGCCTTCGCAATGTCCAAACTAACGGCCAATGCCTCCCCCTTGGACTCTACTGCCAACGCCCATCTATGAGTTAAGTAGACCAGAAGATCACCAGCTGATCGACCCCGACGAAAACCGTACTGGCAGTCACTAATCAGCTGGTGATCCTCAAGGTACCGCATGAGGTGGCAGTTTATAACGGATTCCATTATTTTGGAGAACAAGGGGGTGATGGCGATAGGCCTGTAGTTGGACGGGTCTGAGCGGTCGCCTTTTTTAGGGATCGGGTGGACAAAAGCTGTCTTCCATGATTTCGGGACTACGCCTAGGGAGTAGGAGTACCGGAAAAGACGCGTTAGAACCGGTGCCAACTCCGGAGCACACGTCCTCAGCACAATTGGGGGGATTCCGTCAGGCCCACTCGACTTGTGGATGTCAAGGTAGAGGAGTGCTCTGCGAACCGAGCGCTGTGAGAACCGCACATCCGGCATGGAGCACTCATACCGCGGGATGGTCGGCGGTGTGTTCCCCCCGTCATCAACAGTCGAGTTGGACGCAAAAAGGGAGCCTAAAAGGTCGGCCTTCTCTTTTGCGTCGTGGGCCAGTGAGTCGTCCTCCCTGTGCAGAGATGGTAGTGATGGGTTACAGAAATTCCCTTGGACAGCCTTGGCGAGAGACCAGAATGCACGGGTTCCCGAAGGAAGGCGAACTAGTTTCTCGCCAATTCTACCTATGTGCTCTGACTTTGCCTTGGCAATAACTCTTTTGAAGGACCTGGAGGCGAAGTTATACTTCTTTTTGTGTGTGCTGGTGTTTACATCCCGAGTCACCGAAGCCGCAGCCCAGGCTTGATAACACTCCTGCTTACTGCGTAATGCAGTCTTACAGGAGCGACCAAACCAAGGCTGAGATCTGCCTCCGATGGGTACCACAGATGATGGAATAAATAGTTCCATTCCCTGTAGCACCACATCAGTGACAGAGTCAGCAACAGCGCTGGGATCATCCGGCGAGAAGCAAACCCGCCCCCATGGGTAGGAAGCAAAGAAAGACCGCATTCCGTCCCAATCCGCCGACCTGTAATGCCAAACATGGCGGCAACCTGCAGAACGCAACCGCGAGGGGAGCGTGAGTGGCACCACACTCCGGATCAGACAATGGTCCGAAGAGCCAAGAGGGGCATCGATGGAAACCTGATATCCGTCCGGATGAGAGGTCAGCAGAAGGTCCAACAGGGAAGGTGTATGATCCTCAACATCTGGAATCCGCGTAGGCGATGTAACCAGTTGTGTCAGACCATATGCCAAGGCAAAGTCATAAACAGATCTCCCCGCATGATCGGTTAAACGTGAACCGAGCCATTCGGCGTGGTGGGCGTTAAAATCGCCAAGAATCACGATCTCTGCGGATGGGACCTGTTGTAGCAAGGAATCTGTAGCCATTTGGACGTGGTCGATGAGTCGGTCTGTTTCGGCATTACCGCTATGGGACCTATAGAGGCACACGTAGACGCGCGGATGGTCGTCGCTGTCTACGCGTAGCCAAAGGGTGGACAGGTCCGAACCTTCAAGACTGCCGAGGCGTCGAGAACAGATGTCCTCTCTGACATACACGCAAACTCCAGCCCGAGGCACAAAGGAGTGCTCCAATTTGTACCCCGGGTAGGAGAGATACGAAGTATCAGCCGAAGAGGACACCTGCGTCTCGGTCAGAAAGAGCAAGGCCGGCTTCGCCGTCTCAAGATGGTAGTGGACGGCGTTTAGGTTCGAGTGAAGTCCCCTGATGTTGCAGAAATTCACGGATAGCGTGGCAGGGGTCGCCTTGGTCTTGTTGCTCAGTTTGCCCCGAGCAGTTATTGTGTTGAGCGGAATTTTGCCCCCCCCCCCCCCCCCCCCAGAATACGCGGGGCAGCCTGAGCACCCACGCTCAGGAGTGGAATAGCATGGTCGTGGATGCTCAGCGAGGGATTCTCCAGGGGTACTGGTACCCTCCTGGGGTAGTTTATGACGTAATTCCGCTACCATGTTGATGGAGGGGGGGGGGATCGGGCCTCCGGTCACCTGCACAAACCAGACGAAACGCGGAAGCAGAGCTTCCACTTCACGCCGGTATTCTGTGAGGTCGTGGTACTAACCCGGCTCGAGCCGGCCCATACGTGCAACAGCAAAAGCTGCTGCAAGGCTCTACCACCGTTGATTTAGTTTGACGTTATGATATGACGTTATGTACGAAACCAACAGATGTCAAGTTGGTGATAGGGTTAGTAAAAAATTTCTTTTCCACTTTTTCCCTCAAGTCCCTATTGGTAGCAGACAAGCAGACTAATTTCAAATAATACGATAAACCACACTTTGTTTTCAACACATTTATAACGTAAATATGACACGCAACCGTGCGTGGAATCCAAATGGAAATTTAGGATCTAATATGTGCAGCCTTTGGACACATTCTCCGAAATTTATACCCGTAAAACACCGGTAAACTGGCAACTCTGCCCATGAATTCGAGTCTGTCTAAGCAGCTTAGTCTCAAAGTATTAAAAACTATTAAGTAAGTATATAAGAAATAAATGTTTCGGACACACTGCCGTAGCTGCATATTTATTATTTTCAAGAAAGCTTTAAATAGGCCACTGTAATTGTCGGTTGGTAGAGTAAAATAGTAAAACCAGATTGAACGTTACACATGAACGTGCTATGCACAGAGCGAAACATCGTTTTTGCAATCGCATAATTATAAAGCTGTCTGGAAAACTTAAGTTGAAACGACCGCCATATTGATAGGCTCGCGTTTATTCGAATTAAAACAGGTTTAATTTTTAAAATGACTATGAAGCCAGACTCCTAATGAGAAACGAGGGCCGGTTTAGAACCGGTGGGACAGCGAAAACAAGCAAAATAAAAAAAAAAAACACGTTGAATGATTTGTTTATAATTAGAAAAAACAGTTCAATGTTCGCTCGATTTTATTTTATACTCAAGTTCTTGACTCTGAATATCAAAATATTACAAGGTGGTTTTTAACTTTGTGTGGGTAGGTAAATACAGTGTTTAATTGAAATCCCATATCGTACCGAGAGTGACGTAAGAGGCTACATGGGAAATAAAACAGATGATTCCTAGAACCTAACAGATGATACCAGAGTATTCCTAGTAACAACAAGAAAATAAAATACTGCATTTGCCAACCCGCGTGTGGATCGTGCCTATTTTTTTTTAATAGAATAAGGGTGACAAACGAGCACACAGTCCACCTGATGGTAAGTAGTTGCTGTGGGCCATATAAATCTACATCTATCTTTGTTTGCGAATTAAAATGCAGATGCGTTGTCAGCCGTGAGGATTAAGATGGAACCCCTTCATTCCAGTAAAATGGTTCTCCGGTTCTCTACATTCACCATACGGAACACAGCAGTGTTAAGCTGCTATTTTACGCTGGTATTCTGTGAGAGTGTGGTTCTTCCCCGGTCGAGCCGACTCATTCGTGCTACAAATATACTATTAATATAGATGCAGCTTGACTCTAGCACGTGCTAAAAATGTATGACAAATATTTCACTTATGAAGCAATAGATTGCTTCAGGAGGCCTTAGTGGTCAGCAGTGGTATTTGATAGGCCGTAACGATGAGTTGAAATTGAAATTTTATCAATTTGACTTGCCGTATAGCATCGGTGTAACATTTTTATCACCACATTACGTCCTGCAGTGACGTGGGTTATTTAAAGGACATTCTGAGGTAATTACAATAATACATGTTCACAGATATAATTGTTAATAGTAATAATATATTTTTTTTAATCTTTAAAGAGGTAA